CCATTAACGTGGAGTGATAAGTAAAGTTGCTGGAAATGTGGGGAAGAAATATCGTATTATAATGTGCCTTATACTTGCTTGCTGTGGTGGAGGTTTTTAGTTTGTTTGGGGTTCTTATTCTGGATCTTTTTGGTCTGAATGTGGTGGGTTTTTTTTATATTTTTTGGTAAGGGAATGTTTCAGTGACAATGAAATTCATGCTCGTTCTCTTATTTTCAGGCCAAGTCCTTCTGCTGGCTTCTCCCAGCCTGGCTGGCAGGTTTAATACCCAGCGTGCACACGCAGAAGCAAGCTGCAGCTATCACTGAGGGTCTGTAGACTTACAGAAGGTAATGCTGCTGTTCTGAACTCTGACTCTGGTGGTCTAATAAAGGGAATTTTTTTTCTGTGTGAAGTCAAGGGAAACTTCTTTCAGGAAGTCCTGACCAAAATGCTGTTGTGCCTGACCACCTCAAAAGATGTCACACTGTATGTGGGTGGGACTGAAATTTAGAAGCAGACTCTAAACCGGTAAAATAATTCAAATGTGTAGGATGGGATCTCATGTGCTTGTGGCACCAAATCAGTCTCCAGTGAGCTGATAATTTTCCAACCTTCGCTGCCCAGTTTGTGCTGGGAAGTGTAGAAGGGAGAAACAACTGGTGTTCAAATAAATTTGATCATCCTTGTTCTGTGTTTTATGTGCCAGGCTCGGAAGCATGGAAAGCCTCTGTGCAGCCAACAGCACTTTTGCTGTGGAGCTGTTAAGAATGCTGTGTGAGAAGAAAAGTGGGCAGAATGTGTTCTTTTCACCATTTAGTATTTCTTCTGCTTTGTCTATGGTTTTGCTGGGTTCAAGAGGTAGCACTGAAGCCCAGATAAGCAAGGTAGGTCAGAATAAACTTGGTGGATTGCATTTGATGGGATCATATGAGGAACAGAGTTGTCTTCCAGTGTGTGACATGCACGTGTGCTAAACTGTGATTGTGACTGTGGTGTGAGTGAGCAGAGCTCTTCCTCTGCTGTGTGTATAAGGACAATCAATTTTCATTGTTTTTGAAAGGGGATGTTCCTTTATTATAAAATGAAGAGTTTCTTGCCTTTTCTTGTGTGGGTTTTTTTTTCTGGTTTTTGAGATAGATCTTTAATATGTAAATAGGATGTACCTGTAGAGATTTTATTGATCACTTGGTGGCTACATAAATTATTTTCTCTTCCTTCCTTGCGTGGACATAAAATCGTATCCTACAAGTTCAGAAATGAAGTCAGGCCCATTAAAAAATATAATAAAAATGCAATAGTCTATATTCTAATGAGGTAACTGTTGCGTGATTTATGCATTTTTAAAACTTTGCTCAGGTAGCAAATAACTCTTGGTATGTGTTTTATGTAGGAAATGACAATATTGAGTGCAGGAGCAGTCCTTTTGCTTTGGTTGTTTGCTGCCATTGCAAAGTGGAAGAGGAGTATGAACTCAGATCTTGTTTCCATGTACTTTATAAAAATTTCTCAGAAACCTGTGTTGTTGCTATAGATGCAGATACCCAGAATCCTTCTGGACACAGTCGTGAGCTACCAGCTCTAGGTGTCCCTGCTTGGGCAGGGCTTTGTAGCAGATTGTCCCCACAGGTCCCTTCCAAACTGAGCCATTCTGTGATCCTGTAGGGCTTGCCTTGAGGGTAGGGAAATCAGCACTGCTGACTCTGCTGCTCCCTAAATTATGACTTGTGCAACATCTTGCTGGGTACATCAGATATGACTTGCATGATATGCTCCAGACGGGAGGTGTGGTGAAAAACTCTTTTGGCTTCCAATCACAATATTTAACTTAAATGTAATTTTAATATAAAACCAGTCATGCTGTAGCAAGTGTGTTTAGAGAAGTTAAGGACACTGTTGTGGCTGTTGTCTGTGTGCAGGTGCTTTCTCTGAAGAGCGCCCAGGATGCTCACAATGGGTATCAATCCCTTCTCTCTGAAATTAATGATCCAAAGAGCAAATACATCCTGAGAACTGCAAACCGGCTCTATGGAGAAAAGACCTTTGAGTTTCTTCCTGTAAGTAGTCATTAAGTTTGTTATGATTGTTAGGCTAATGGATTTGCTACCTCTTTCCTCTGGCAGTAAAGGCAGGCTTTTGGGTTTGTCTTCCAGATTTTCTGTGCTAAGACACAGGAGGGCAATAGATTCTTCCAGAGCTTGGTGTCTGAACTTGGTGGAAAATCCCCTTTTAAATAATTTGTGTTCTGAGTGGAGAAGTGATGCTAAGCAGGGTAAAATCCAGCAGTCTCTACACTTGAGGGTTCTGTGATCCATTAATCTGTTTGGCTATGGAACAAATGGTTGATGCATCTCTTAGCAAAGGTCTTATAAAGAAGCTTATAAAGTCATATGTCAGGTCTCAGAAGCACAAAATAAATACAAGGGAAAAACACCCCTCATTTTTGTGAAAGAAGTGTAGAAGTTTGTACTACAGTGCATAAGCCATATCACTAATATTGATTGCTAGTTCAATGAAGTGCTATAAGTCCTAGTGGGAACTTGGCAGAAAGAATGTTAATGACTCAGTCTGAAGATGGGGAAGGAAAGCTGGCATATATCCTTGGAGAATGTAAGGATCACCTGTGTCTGAATGAGAGTAAATCTCTTGCTGCAAATCTGTTGTGAATGTCCCTGTTAGTCATTTATAGAGTCCAGTCAGAAATCCTACCATGCTGGCCTGGAACAGAAGGACTTCGTGCATGCTTGGGAGGATGCTAGGAAACAAATAAATGGCTGGGTAGAGAAAAGGACTGAAGGTGAGTGCTTTTCCAAGTGCCCAGTTCTGTTTAATGGGAATTAACCCTTGCCCATTGTTTTGAAAAACAACTAGTTCAGGATGTAGTATTGTGAATTCAAACAACTCAGATGACAAGCGATTGCTGTGTGTCTGGTACTTAATTCTCTTCTCTTCTCTTCTCTCTTGTTTATTAATTGCAGAGTAGGTATTATCTTGGGTAATAATTAGATCCATGTCAACCTATAAAATAATGTGGGATTTTTGTTTGAATCCTAAAGGTAAAATTCAGAACCTGTTGGCAGAGGGAATTCTGAATTCTCTGACCAGGCTTGTGTTGGTGAATGCCATCTATTTCAAAGGCAATTGGGAAGAGCAGTTCAACAAACAGAGCACCAGAGAGAGGCCGCACTGGCTGGAAAGAGGCTCAGAGGAAAGGGCAGGATCTCTTTTGTGGTGAGGAAAGGATACAAGCTTGGTGTCTTTGGCATTGTGAACAAGGAATTTATTCCAAAAGTTTTGTTGCATTTCCTCCCCTATTGAAAATAAAAAGGAAAAAAGCATTAATCTTCATTATAAACTCTGGGGAAATAATGATTCATGTTATGTGCTTTTTGACTCTGTAACGGGCTATATTCTTATTGTAATTTAGTAAATTTTTGGTTTTTATTTAGCTTGAAAGGGAACTTACATATGAGAAACTGATGGATTGGATCAGTCCTAAAATGATGAGGTCTACAGAAGTGAGGGTGTCTTTACCCAGATTTAAACTGGAAGAAAATTATGATCTGAAACCACTTCTGAGCAGCATGGGAATGCCTGATGCATTTGAGTTGGGCAAGGCAGACTTCTCAGGAATCTCACCTGGCAACCAGCTGGTGCTCTCTGAAGTGGTTCACAAATCATTTGTGGAAGTCAATGAAGAAGGCACTGAAGCAGCTGCTGCCACAGCTGCAGTGATGGTGTTGTGCTGTGCTATGATTGTTCCGGAATTCACTGCTGATCATCCTTTCCTCTTCTTCATCCGGCACAACAAAACTTCCAGCCTTTTGTTCTGTGGCAGATTTTGCTGTCCCTAAGGAGGAGATGTCTTGGCTGCATAGGTACCATCACACAATAAATTTGTATTTCCCTAGAAGCAGATGATTCCTTTTGCACTAATTGTCTCAGCTGTGCCTGCACCCTCTTCTCTGATTTTGATCTTGGGCTTGGCAGGAATAAGAGAGCTGCTTAGACAAACAGAGCTCCTGCCATGTCCAACCCCTCCTGTGCCTGTGTGCAGAGGTCTCCAGGTTCTGGCTGACACAAGAACCATGCCACTTGCTCTCTCAAACACTTCTTCTGTGCTTGACTTCTCTTTTGGTGTCCAGCAGGCAGTCAGGCAGTGAGATCCCGTGGGAGAGTGTTGTATTGTGCTTTTTGTTTTATTAGTAGGTCTATGGTTTGATTTGTGATTTTGTGGTTTTCCTTGGTGCTGTTTTCCTTTTGTCTCCGCCTTTTCGCAGTCATGTTGTCAGCTAGTTTCTAGTTTCTATTTCTCCAAACTTTATCCATTTACTGAAACTGTTTTTTCTTTCTTGGAAGTTTATTGGTTCACTACTGTTATTCCCCGCCTAGGTTTTTACTCCCAACTCTCCTGATTTGTTTAAAGTTCGGTCTTCCCCGAACATTCCCCTGAGATACAAGTCTTTGTTCGCCCCTTGATCGGGGCCCAGGAGGAAGAAAGGGGAAATTTGCCATCAAATAAAGTTTCCCTGGGACCCGTGTGCGCTGCCTGTGTTTTATACTGCGCCGAAACAACTGACAACTGGGATTCAATGGAGCTCCAGGAGGAAAAACTGCTGCCTCCCTCCCTTAACATCAGCTAGCCGGGGAAAGAGAAGCGGCAGGAGAGAAGTTACTTTTGCTTGTGACAAGGCTGGAGCACATTTGTAGCTGCCCTCCCCTTTTACCTTCCAGTCACATCCATTGAGTGCCTTGATACATTGCCTGGAGCTGAAAGGTGTTTTTGGCAGCCTGCTCCAGGTTCTAGCTGAGCTTCTTGCGTAGATGTGGGGTTTTGGCCAACACCTGGACCAGCTCTTAGTAAAGAACAATCTTTCAGCACATGTCCTTAGAGGGTGTTTATGGTGAGAACCATCACCACAGGCGATCTTGAGTTTTTTACCGTTCGCCTGGTTCTAGTCCTTTAACAAGAATATCATCTAACTGTGGAATACGAGAGACAAAGCTGAAACTGCTGTCCTGACATGGGGATGTTTCTTGCGCTTTCTGTTTTTGAAATACTGAAAGAACTCTTAAGTGCTGTAGTAGTCTGGGTTTTTTTGCAACTATTAGTAGTGCATTTTTTAACCAGTTTTCTGAAAATTGTTTCTTGTAATACTCACTTCTATGTAGCTTGTTTGGGGTTTTTTGCAAAAAAAAGATTTTTCTGGATAGTGAAACCCGAGGTGCTTACTTGGCTCGCCATGAATTAGTGGTTGGCCTTGAAAGGATTTCAAGGTATTTCAGAGGACACCAAGGGGTTCCCTAGATAGCAATTTTTTTTTTCTGGCCAGCACAGCAACACTTCCTCTTGATTTTTTGCATAGGTTGATGTCAAGGCTTGGTGGACATTATCTGAAAGGTGCTAGATGGGCCTATCCTTTATTCAGTACACAGTAAGACCTGTCTCAGGTGAAACACACAAAAGCATTATATGCAGGGGAGAGGGATGAGACCCAACATTTTTATCACAGGTGCACATGCCATACACTGCAGTTAAAGGGCTGTGCACCTAAAATCAATATGGGCAGTATAGTTGGGGATGTCCCAAGGACTGGTAGATAGCGAAGATTGTGATAAACCACAGAAAACTCCACCTGAAGTTAGTTTTTTTGAAATGAAAAAGAGAGAGAAAAAAAAAGCGAAATAACTTCATAAAAGATGAGTCCAAATAGAGACACACGGTGGAAAGGCAGAGAGGAGCCTTCCTGGGCAGCAGGGATGTGCTTGTCCCATGGGTCTAAAACACCTGGATCTCTTACGGCTGGGGCAGGGTGAGGGTTTTTGGTTAATTTGGTTAATCTCTTCTCTCCGCCGGACAATCGGGGACACCCGGACGGGAGCGGCCGCGGGGTGACACCTGCCGCCCCGCCCCCGTCGCCTCTCCCCGCCCCGGCGGGGTCTCCGCAGGTGACACCGCGCTGTCACTGCGCCGCTCGGCTCCTTCCGCTCCATCCATCCCATCCCACCGCATCCCAGCCCGCTCCGCGCTGCCCGGCAGGTAGGTGACCAAGCGGCCCTTGGCTCCGCGGGGCTGCCTCCGACCCTGCCCCCGGCGCATCCCACGGGAAAGGGACAGGAACGGGACGAGAAGGGGAAATTTTTCCTCTCCGCCTCAGCGGGCGGGGTCTGCGCGGGGCGGGGGGCGCTTCTCGGGCCCCGGGGGTGGGCGCTGTCCGGCGCTGGTTTGGGTGAAAGGCTTGCGCAGTGAGGGGAGCTAAACGAAAGTGAAAGTACGCCTGGGGGCTTGGGTGCTTTTAACGGGGTCGGGGTTGGTGGTCTTTCCTTAGCCTGCAGCTCGGTAAGTAGTACATCGCAGATCTAGGGTTGGTCTTTCCTTAGCCTGCAGCTCGGTAAGTACATCGCAGATCTGCCGCGTGTTGTCTGTCTGGCACGGAGGAAGCCGATAATGATTGCAATTGCTGTAGAGAGGCTGTGCGGGAAACAGCCAAATTTTGGCGTGAACTCCTCCACGCAGTTGCGTCCGGAGGAGCTAAAGAAACAACCCGGGACTCCGGCTGCAAGCCAGCGCAGAGCAGCCGGACTCTGAGCTGGCGCAGCATCCAGCGGTGCCGCCGCTGGCCCTTCGGTGGGGTTTTGAGCCTGAGCCAACCCTTGCGCCTTTCACCCTGCTCCTGAGCATCTCCCCAAAAGGCATCGCTTGCCTTGTGTCCCCGCCGGTCACCTGCAGCCCTCAGAACGCCGGGGTTCCTGCCCGAGCCTTTGGGGCCGCGCAGCCCCGCTGGTGCTGGATGCGGCGGGCAGGCAGCTCCGTGCTCCTGGCAGCGCGGGTGGGGAGCAGCGCTGCTCTCCGCTGCTGAAAGACAGCGTGCACGGAAGCCTTTGGCAGTCCTGTCACCGCTCAGGGACATGGATTTGTGGCATGAAGGCAGGCGGTGTCTGAATGGCCCTGAGCAGATGCTATGAATGTCCTCTGTGCATTGCAGAGGAGCAGAGGGAATGCTGGAGCCCTGGCTTGTGCTGGGTCTGTGAGGCTGAGGGACTTTTGCAACTCTACCAGAACACATACTTCCAGTTCCAGATCTGCATGAAAGGAATTTTTTAAAAATAACATCTATAAAGTTAGTATAATACGGAAGGCTGGAACAAACCATTAGCACAGAAAAAAATCCCGTTTTTTCAATTTGACTGATTTTTTTTTTTAAGAATAAGGTGCACTGACAATGATATTCTTGCTGTTTCTGTAAGCAGCTGCATCCAGTTCAATCCATTCTTTACTCTGTGAGTCACACAAGGTTAGACAAGGTGTTTGAAGAATGTTTCCCAGGGTTCTTATCAACTGGTTTTTTTTTCAGCTATAACCATGGAGAAGCTGTCTAATGCCAACAGCAGATTTGCACTTGATCTGTTCAGAAGGTTGAGTGAGGCCAACCCAACAGGAAATGTCTTCTTTTCTCCTGTCAGTATCTCTGCTGCTCTGGCCATGGTCCTTTTGGGGGCCAAAGGTAATACAGAAGCCCAGGTGTTGAAGGTTAGTGAAATAAAATGGTCATTAGTTTTGTATTTTATTTACATTAAAAAGGGTTGTGTTTTAGAGGAGGGGACATGAAATGAGGGGTTTTTTTTTGTTCAGGACAAGATTTCTGTCATGCACACTCAGTTTTCCTCAGATTCTGCAGCTAGTTACCCTCTGCCTACCCTGCTCCAGAGCCCTCTGTCTGTATTTTCTATAACCCTTGTTGTTAGTTTAATTTCAGTAGTTAATTCTTGACAGAGGAAACTAATTACATTAGTCAGTCTCCTTTTAAATTGATCATAACTTCAAGCAGCAAGGCTCTATAAGTTTTCATGAGACATTCGACAAGCTATTACTTTATAACACAAGATCACCAACAGTACGTTCATTTTCAATAATTGTGTGTGCTTTTGTAAAAAAACACAGTAGCACTCTATAGTTTTATATCTAAGGCTATGATGATACAGGGTGATGCTACCTAAGTACCAGTCTCTCACTAACAGGCACTCGGATATCTCGAAGACTCTAAGTCTGCATGGTTATCCTTACCATAGCTTTAGGGTAGGTATGATAGTTTCAAAAAAACCTCCTTATAAATTGCAAAAATGGTGCACATAGGAGTGTGCCAGTTTCCCCTGCAACCTCTGTCACAGAAGGGACTCAGTCACTGTTATTTTTGCATCCTCATTAGGCAAACGCCTGTAAAAAAGTGTGGGAGTCTCCTCATTGCAGTCATCCTCATGCATTTGCCTATGAATAATTTCACCTTTGTATTCTGGACTTTAGGAGGAACTGTTTTATACTGTTGAGTATTGCTGGGCTTACTCAATAAAATTACTTCCCCACTACTTGTTCAAACAGACTTTGAACATATTTCATGTAATCAGACTGACAGCCCCACCTAGGATAAACCTACTGACAGCACAAATCATGCAAAAGGAACTTGGGGGTAAAATAAATGTCTTTCAACACAGTCATCCTCAACAGGGCATGTTTCTATACCATAATACTTCACTTATGAACACAGTGCTAATTAAAGAGGGACCGATTAACAATGTCAAGAGCTGTTTGCAGGGACACAAAAATTTGTTTCCGGGATCATAATTCTATTGTAAGGTTGCCTCTGTGATGTTCTTGCTCAACCACGCACCTGTACAGCACAGCTTGTACTGAGTTGGTCGGCAAAGCCTGACCAAAAACCCAGTGAGAGAAAGAGAAGGCTTGCCTTTGAATCCAATCACTCCTTCACAGCAGTCTTCACTACTGGGAAACACGTGGTTTAAATTTGAATATGAATGTCCCTGCTTTGGTGTAGCCATCCCTGTCCCTGAGGTCTGGCAGCTTCTGCTCTCATATCTTCAAGCCCTGGCCAGCCAGCTTGCCTCGGGAAGAGGAGGTACTGGTACAGAGGTATTGCAGTAATGCACTTGATCTTAAACCTAATACTTACTATATATATATATAGTATACATATTTCTATATAAAAAGTATATATGAAGTGCATATATATTTAAGGAGTTACATTTTCATAAAATTATAAAGGATAATCGCTCAAAGTTTTCTTAATACCTCACTTGTGATAGTGATGATTGTATATTGTGAAAATATACAACCCCACATCCGCTTGGGCCAAAGTGGGAACCAAGAAAGCAAAAGGGTCTCCATGGCATCATCTCTCTTTGATTCCTCACCTGGGAACGAGTTCTTGGGCCCACAGAGGAGAGGCCCACAGAAATGCAGACAGGACTTGGGGCTGTGAGCTTCAGCTGTAACTGTGCATAAACCAGGATCACGATACAAGTGCCTGACATGGGCAGTGTAGCACCGAGGGACAGTTTGACTCATTCTTTGAGATCTACAGAAGTCTCTAAGCAGCTTCCAGCCTTTTCTTTTCTCTTTCTTCAGCCTACCTACTGGATCCTACCCTGCTGCATCAGGCCTACCCTACAGATGAACAGTATGTTCTTTTAGGACAGTATTAACAGCAGCTAGTTCACTTCTTTTTATTTCAGAC